CAACACCATTAAGTACATCACATGGACTTGTAAATTATTTTTTTAAGCCTGCATACTTAACACCTGGAACGTACATTAGGTACTTTGGTCTTTAGCGAAATAATGTACAGAGTTATTACCATCAGAACCACTGTCGCCAATATTCACAAATACATAATTTGAAACACTACGCAATCTTGATGATGATTAATCGTAGTTTCTAATTTAAAAAGAAATAACAAATTCTGAGCTGTTAATGTAATTTAAACTTTACCCAGTTGGCATATCGTTGAATGTTCGATACTTATTATTGCATGTTATAACGCTTTAATTTTATATTGAAATTTTAATCAATGTGCTGATAATGTTATTACAAGTTCGACAACCATTTTTGCACTCCACACTTGGAAATGGCGTACTGAGCTTACATACCTGGAACTCCGCGTACTGTTGGCACACGTCCTACACAAACTAAGCACTTCTACTGTATTTATTGTTCTGTGGAAATCAAAAGACAGTTGAAGTCATTCTATTTTCAAATTGTAATTAAATTACTCGCATTACTTACATATTTCTAAATCGTACGTATAGCTGTTAAAACAGATTTTAAAGAAAGAAAGAGATTTTCAATTCGATTGTAATTTTTGTATGTATTTTTACATTACTCCGATATCTATTAACTGATTTTGATGATTCTTACTTTGTTGGAAAAGGGTTAAGTATCTCAGTTCTTAGTAGTTTCATTTAAATAAAAAAAAATTAAACCTCTAAGAGCGTTTGTGCAGCCGATTCGTATCAGGGGGTGCGAGTGACGCATGATGCGAGTGAAGCTTCATACTTGACGTTGTGTTTTAATTTGGTCAAATATTACTTATTTGACAGTTATTTTTTCGGACGGACGTCTGACGGAGGAGAGTAGACCCCCAGTTCCGAATACGAATAATGACGGTTCGAAATATCACAAAGATCATTTTATCTCTAGGCATACACGCGACATCCAAAGTGGGTCGGAGTTTTCTACATTGCTGGTACAGTCTCGGATTCGTAAAGAATATGAATCCGATGCTGCGCAAGGAGGATAAAGCCGGTTTATTAGATTTCACCCACTTTCCGTTAACCGATTTCAATCTCAATAAATTCAATTTCAATAAAACTTGGCAAATGGATGTAATTCCACAAACTTTTGAGGTCGGTTTATTTTTTCTAAAAAAACTTACAATTATAAACAATTTTATATAACTCGTTCACAGAACAAGTTTGACGCAAACTACAACTCAAGACGTCAAGTGGTTATATAAAAATATGTGGCCTCAAAAAACTTTCCTAATATCTGTTATCTGCTACGATAAAAGTTATGTATTGTCATCAATGTTCAATTGTAGAGCACTGTAGAATTCTTCCAAATCTTGTCAGCCATTGCCTTGGTGAGTTGACGCTTTTATAATCAAGCGAAGCTTGTCATCATTACAGCTTTTCACACATCATCAGCCACTTTCTTCTTCATTTCTTCATGTTCATCATTCAGCAGAGCGGATTTTCCGCATATCCTGAAGTTGTTGGTATACGCCAACACTCCCACGCACAGTCCTGATATAATCAGCCAGATGCCAGCGATGTAGAATGTCAGGTCCCAAGTTTTTGTTAGGTCATAGATACTACCTGAAATTGAAACGTTATTTGTTTTATATGTGCACTATAAATCGTCATCATACGTTTTGAGTATATTCTACCCATTTTATCATAACCATGGACCAAAGGACTGCTAATTTCCATACCACAGATCATAGCTCTGAAAAAGGTCAAGAGTAAATGGATTTCGTCCAAAAACGGAGTTAAGTGGTTTTCAAATTTAGCCATCTATATCTAAATCTCACCAGCAATTGGTGGTCCTGCCAAATGTCCGATACCCTCGCTCAGCAACATCAAGCCATACGCAACAGTGAAATAATCAATTGGCATTAGCTCCATCAATATCGCTGGTATGTAGGAATAGGAACTCGCGAAAGTGAACCCGAAGATTGCGGATATGACAACCAAAGCCCAGTAGTTGTCGATGAATGGAGGGTACGCGGCAACTGATAGGCCAGAAAGAATGAGGCATAATGCGTATGCTTTAGACACATTCATCCAGGGTCTATCTCCTGCCCAGCCCAGGAACACCTGAAAAGTTTAGTTTTCTGATAAGCCTGGTTAAAGTCTGTTTAGGTTGACCAGAAAATTGTCTGTAACATAAATATATGTATCGTTTTGTGCATTTGCGGTGAAAAATCAGGTTCTGCGGGGACCATTGGTAAAACTCCTGATAAGGAGCTGTCGGGTCACCTCGTTGAAGCCTCTGGTGGCCAGAACACTACAAGCTACTTTCCAAAGGAATAATTGTGTATATTACTAAATTGAATAGAATATCTCCGTAAACAGATACCAGTAACTGGATACTAGTAACTTAGGTTAAATATAATTTGTTACATTCTCAAAGGGGAAACATTTTTAGCCTCCATGACATGAAGCTGGATAAAATTATCTACCATTAAGTAGAAGAGCTAAGGTAAGAAACTTTTCGTATATTATTTCCTTTACTTCATGCATAATATATCAATTAACTACAGACTCAGAAGGACGATGGTCGTGACCAAACCTGAAAAGCTTGTTCTCTAATTTGGTTCTTTCGGGGATCATACCAAGATCCTAAGACCACGTAAAAGGAAAATATGTATAACCAGAGGGCTATGAATTTGTGAATTTTGAAATTTGACAATTAAAAGCCACAAAACCACTAGAGCTAAAGCTGGTACTTACAATGCCAACTCCGCTCGTAGCACCTGTAATACTTGTCATGACTTCACCCCCCTTAGAGCCGTTCTCTACCATATACGACTTGAGGTAGAAGAAAGGTACGATGGACCAAACGGCCATGATAATAGACGACACGTTAAACAGCACGAAGTGGAACTCTGTGAGCATACGCACGTCGAATATTGACTTTGCTACTTCGAGAACACGGTCCCATATGGTCTGAAAAAGAAAAAAATAGAATAAAAATGTCATTTTGCACATAAGTACATTGTATAATGTCTTATTTTCTAATTCGGTTCGTTCATAAAAACATGAAAAATTTTATGTCCTTGCACAAACTTTGCTTTTGACATCGAAAAGTTGAAATTTGCATACAATTAAAGAAACGTACAAATTTCGAGTTTCTCTTTATTTAAAGACAAAAAGCGAACATTATATTTCAAATCAATAGTTGTTTTTTTATAATAATAAGTGACGAGACGAACAAGTCGTCCACCTGATAGTAAGCGACACGCCTGTCCATAACAGTTGCAGTACCACAGAACTTTAAATCACAAAGATCTGAGAGGCACTACCACTGCACCCGACACGTCTCATGTGCCTGTAATTTCACCAGTACTCGTACCCTTCAAAACCAGAACGCAGTAAAGCTCACGCTACTGCTTGGGGCAGCAGAAATAGACAAGGTAGTACTTCCTTGGACGAACTCTTTCACAAGGAGCTCGATTGCTACTAAAATATATCTGTGGTCATGAACATCTTGAAAAGAAAGTGGAAGAGTAGATATTGGGTCAGAGTAACGAGATGTAGATATTTACCATATCAACAGATGAAGCCATAGACCACATAGAATTTCTATACATGTCCGGCATCGATGCAGCTCTTAGTCTATATCTAGGTATGTTCATCATCGCTCCTCTGTAAACCATATTATTTCTATACAAAGGCAACTCCCTTAAATAGTGGTGATCGCCTGAAATTTGCCTGATCCATCCTTGTTGAGGTTTCGGTTGAGGTTTTGCTTGAGGCTTTTTATCAGGACCAACTGTATTTTTCATTGTCCTCGAGTCATTATTAACATTTGTCGATTCTTCTTCCATTTGACTAGAAGTTAAACCTGTATTTTCATTTTCTTTATTTTGAACATTATTTTGCTTTACGTCTTTGTTTTCTTTATCTTCGTCTGGTGTTTTCTCTTTTACATTTTTAACTTTGACAAAAACCTCTACTGGTAGTTTAGCAGGTGTTATTACGGAACCAGGAGGAGGTTTTTCAACATTGAGTTGGACGGCGGATTTCCTCCTATTAACTAGATCGGGGTAGTTCTGTATGATTATGTTGTATAGACGAGTGTCTTCCATTAGATTTTCTATTACTTCTGGAGGAACCTAAAAAGAGATTACTTATGCCATTACCTTTACTTTATGTAGTATTGTGTCTTACAATATAATTTGCGCTGTTTTGAAAATTATATAAAGCACATATTACTATAACAAGATAATAAATAACAATAATAAAGTTATTCTTAGTTATTATAATCGCGTATATTTATTTTTTCAAAGGGTTTGTTTGAAAAAACAAATATACGCGATTTAAATCCGGAAAAATAGTTTCATTTCCTATGTGTAACAATCGCGATAACCTAAGAACTCGATAATAATAAAGTTAGTTTGTACTACACAGTTGCTTTGAACTATGAAATAACATTGTACTTAATAAACTTCAAGTAGTGATTACGATTTGTTTGCTAACCTTTTCGTTCTGTTGCACAAAAGTGGGTAAATGAATAGCAGAATGCATCCTCAGTAAGGAGTTTTCAACGTTCATCTGTGTCGTAGCCTCCAGTTCCTCGGCCTCCGCTATAGAAGATGCCAAGGTAGCCAGAATGTAATCTGGACTCTTTCCGCTTTTTAATAAAGACTTCAATTCTTCCGCAGTCAGAAACACGGACTCTCCCCCAACAGACCTCGAAGAGGTCGACCCAGCACTAGACGTTCTGCGAGACCGTGATTTCTTTAACAACTTACGCTCCTTTCTCTCCTTAACTTCCAACCACTCCGGGTTTCTCATTACTGCGCCGCATACGCACATATGCAACAGAACACCGGCTAGAACTATTATTGTGCTCCTCCAACCATAGTTTTCTATTAACCAGTTAACAAGTGGTGAAAAGATGAACGTTCCAACTCCAAAACCGCACGAAGCGAGTGATACAGCTAAATTCCTCTTTTTGTCAAACCAAAATGCCACTGACACTACTGCAGTCACATGTAACACTCCCATTCCTAATCCAGATAGGAAACCAAACGTTAAACATAACATTTCTACTGAATTGCTAACAGATGAAAGTAAAAATCCTATAGAAGAAAGTACACCAGCGATCATAGTCATGCCTCGACATCCAAATCTATCGACTAAAGCACTCATGATAGGTCCAGCTATTAAAGGAGTGGCCAAGAACAAGCTGCCTATTAGAGATGTCATTGATTCTTTAGACTTGAAATGTTGTTTGAATGCTAAATGGAGGACTCCAAAAGAGAAACATAGTCCGTCAGCAACGCAGGTGACTATAAATGATGCTGCTACAACCACCCAGCTCCATCCTCCATCCGGTATGGGAGGAATTTCGTCGTCCTCGGATTCTTCAGAACATATACTGTCGATACTGCCAAGTCCCGCAAATTTCACTCTATCTACAGGAGATTCTGAGTCTTCCCTGTTGTACAATTCAGGTTCAATTTTCTCTGACTTTAGGGCGTTAATTTTGTTCATGTCTTCTTCTGTTTGATTAAGATTTCCATCGTCTGCGCAGTCGCCATTCAGTTTGTCGTTTTCCATTGTTCCGGTCATCTTTTTTATATACTGTTTATCGGCATAGTTTACGTGTTGATAATACGTTATAATATATAATTTATCTGAAATAGTAAATAGTTGGGTAAGTATTTATTTAAGCAGTATATAATGTCCTGAAAGCGTATTGTGTTTGAGAACATTTGAACAAAAGTTTATTGAGAAAATACCAACAAATACTTGTAAGAATATAAGACAAGTAATCAACATTGAAAAATTTAAAAATATTTCAGCTCATTATCTTGGCAAGGTCATATCCTCCTTGAACTCATTGTTATCTGATATAGTACGAGTGTCTCAATGTGGTAGAATCAATGAATGGAATTTGTTTAAGTTATTTTGAGAAGTATTTAGGTCAGTAATTCATCGTTCAATATAAACCTCTTGTACTAATTTAAAACAATGTAATAGCAACCTGCTGATAACATGCTTCATCAACTCTTTATACATCCTCCTTCGGGTCACGTTCTTCCTCTAAGGAGGAGGTTTTATGCTATAGTCCGCCATGCTAGCCCAGCGCCAATAGGGTGTTTCAAACTTCTTCGAAATTAACAATATGTTCAATATGTAACTTAGAAATAACTTACGTAACTTAGAAATTGAAGTTATAAGTACAATCAAGGGCACATCTAACTTAACACTTTAGATCGTTATAATTATTAATACAAAGATCGAACTTTTAGAAAAAATTCCTTCGATCCAGCTGGATTCGAACCGAAGTTTTCTACCAAACCGTGCCAGACGCTATGCCAACTAAGTCATGGAACGAACCAGAAGACCAGATATAAAGATCCGACAACAAGCACATAGAAAAATTCGTGAGGTCCGCTGGTGGTGAAACATTCAATAAAACATTTAATTACTTTAGATCTTTCTTATTGTAAGCGGCATAGTGTTGAATTTAAACCTTAACCTTACTAGGAAGAGGAATGAAATCATTCGCCCACTTTAATTCTAGGCAGAAAACAATGGTCAATAATGGCGTACCTATATGGTACTAATAATTGATGATCAATACCATATTGTTAACTCATATAAGGATCCATTATTTATTATGATATTGCGTACATAAAAATCTCATATAACACACAGCATTAACACAACGTACAAAGAACACATACGCAATTATTTAAGTAGTTTATTTTATTTTGCGACACACACGTCCGTCACTCATCTCAGCTCAGGGCTCATTGAAAACCAGCGCCACAGTCAATTGCGGCTGTGGCATAAGCTGAATGAAGTCCTTTTGCGTACGCCACAACCGCACACATGACAGTACAACATTTGTAGTTGTTATATTTAGTATTTTTCTGTTTTGCTCTTTGTTTGTTATTGTCTTATTTCATTTTATTTTAATTTTGTTTATTACGTCGTTTTGTTTTGTTTTGCTTGTCTAAGTAGTATCAATATTTTTTTTGTATCTATATGTTGTGGCGTTGCAATAAATGTCTATTCTATTATATTCTATTCTATTCTATATAAACATGTAAGAAGAGACCAGGGAAAGAATGATCTAAGTCATTAAAACACGTTCTAAGTTGGTACCGCCATCCGGTTCAGCAAACGCTGAGCGTAATTTGCTTAATTCAGAAAAAGGGTAATAAGGTTCAATGTCCTGAAAAATAGTTTTTTTTTAAACTTGTTTTTGTTTTCTGCTAAAAAAACTTGTTTTTGTTTTCTGCTACTAGGAACAAACAATGAAGCGAAATACAAGACAATGTAAACATAACCTACATATATAAACTTTATAACTCCAGCTTCTACAGGCTGTACTCAATTAGCGTTTTAGATGCTTTGATAATGTATCACAAGTATTGACAGGTCTTCTTAATGCACGTCGTCAAAAACACTGGGTCACAAATAGACACGGGATGCCGCCATTCTTCTTTTAAGATTTTATTACGCAGAAGAACATCCCACCTCATCCTACATAAATATGTATATGTAGTAAATTTTAATGTTGTTTATAATAGTAAACATATACAAAAAGCACATATTTCCAGGTAAAGCTAGTGTCGGCCAGCAAATGATAATATTTTCTATTATTTATCTAAATAACCGTACTTAATATTATTGTTTATTTCTGGAAATCTGTAAACAGTATTAAAAAATTCTACAATTAGCATTAGACAATATAAGCACATGTAATGTCGGAGACAGTTCTCAGTTCAAACGTAATGTTACGTAATTTGGTTTATTAGTTTCAAAATGTGCTTTACAAATGATGAATTTTAAGTAATATTATTACGCGTTTTAGTCTAATTATTGAACATTTGAAACATATCTCAGTGACATAAAAATGCTAGAAATAGGATTTTTGAAATATATAATAGGTCGTAAAACAAAGTTGTAAGGCAGACCATGATAAACTATTTACCAACTGTATAATACTTAATGTAAAAACAACAGTTCAATATTTGATTTCTAATGAAAACTATTATAAATGTGAATTTAAATTAACGTAACGAACAAGCGTAATACTAAGGTAGCCCGTAAAAATACATACAAATATATGTATATACATATATTTGTTTGAAATTACGTTATTTAGTTTCTATATGTCTATAACTGTTTACAATAAATAATATTTTTAACCCTGTATATAGTATATTCTAAAGGAACTCGCAGACTTCGATCTATCCATACAAAAGTATCAACGGCACCAATTTATACAGATTGTTATTGTAATAAAATCTTCGTGGTTATTCATTAAATAATTAACCATTCATCATCACGTTTGACCGTTGACAAGTTCGTCAAAGTGTGTTTCGTCAGAAATATTGAAAAAAATTTATAAGATAGATTTTTTTCTGAGTGTTCGATCTTTGTATTAATAATTATAACAAACTATTGGAGTAATTTCACATAAAAATAATTGAATATCAATTCAATAAGAAATTAAATACAATGAATAGCGACATCTCTAACCGGGGCTGGCAGCTGTAAAGGTAACTGGGTGACGAAATATCATAGATTTCTCATAGATGGCGCAACGGCTAAAAAGTCGTTGAAAAACCAAATACAAAGATGCGACGCAAGCACATAGAAAAATTCGTGAGATCCGCTGGTTCGTTCCGTGGCTTAGTTGGTTGGCTTAACCGACGTCTTCTAGCACGGTATGCTAGAAGACGTCGGTTCGAATCTGGCCGGATCGAAGTTATTTTTTCTGAGTGCTCGATCTTTGTATTAATAATTATAAATAGTTCTATTGTTTTTTTTTTCTAATTGGTCCAGTCGCTTTGGCTAAATTAATACAGTCGATACTATCCCATTACAAAAACGCTATTTATAATATAATATAATAAACGCTTTTCCGTGTCAATGCCGCTGGACATAAAGTGTTATTTGTAAAGTCTAATGAAGCGTTGCTTGTTCCCGCTTGTACTTCGTATGCTTGAGAGAGCAGTGGGGCTAGCACGATGATGCGTGACTAGCGCGAGAGCGACATAAAGCGCGATATATCTATGCGAGAATAGCAGTATCTCGCGCTTTATGTCGCACTCGCGCTATTCGCGCCCTATCGTGCTAGCCCTACAGCTCAATTTAACTCACATGTGTACTACATTTGTTTAAACGGTAGTTAATCCCTAAAATCTCTTTTCTTTATCACGCCCTTCTGGTGTAATATATACCACCAGGGGATCATAGCAGGGAATTCAAATGAACAGAGGGATGGAAAATAGTCAATCTGCCTGTTCGGTGCTTCAATGTTAGACACGCCGCTTGGAGCGTTTGTTATATAATTACTTTAGTTGTACATACCTACAGATTGTAAACATAATGTGGAACAATCAAGGTTATAATCGGATTCATATTGATTTGAAGAATTAACTTTTTTATTAAAAAAAAACCGGCTTCAAAAGTAAGCGATAGTATTTATTTAAGAAGCATTTTTTACTTTTGGAATGTAGTTAATGCTATTCAAATTTTAAATAACATGTTCGTCCGTCTAAAGTCTCTAGAAAAAAAGTGACGACTTTATTTCTTAAAAAACAACTTTAAAATCCGCTACAGTAAAATTTAACAAAATGTCGCATCAGTGATTCTCATGTATTGTTATGATTCTCAGCGTCGATATAGAAAAGTTAGTTTTTCTACGTTGACGCAGCCGAGAATTGAACCCGGAACCTCAGAGATGGCAAACTACCACGAGGTCGCAAACTATGCCTATAACGACTCCCGCTGTATAAAAACTATTTAAAAAATCCAAAATCCTTATTTGCTATTCTAGAAGTATATTAAAAACACAATACGAAATATTTCTTAGAAATATTTCTTTCTTCTATTAATTTTCTGATAATTAAATGAAGACCTGGCTCATAGAACTTGTATCCAAGCCAAAAATCTTTTTAAAAAAATTTTCACGGTAACAATAGCTCATATTCACACGCGTCAGATAAAGGAAGCCATTAAACTGTAGAGAGAGAGGTAGATGACCTCTGCTACTCACTATCATTCTCCGTTATATGGTACTTCAGACGCAATATACCTTCTAATGGTGGCATTGTATTTGAGTAGGTATTTGATATATTTGGCAAACAATCATCATGTGTAGATAGCATGTGTGACAAAGCATTTGCCTTGTTTGCCAATTCGACAAATACAGCAAACTGTTTCTCGACACACATCAAAGGAGACAAATAGGCAAATACGCGAGTAAACGGTCCACATTACGGTCATGTTTACGTCAAATATTTTTTCCAAGTATAACAAATACAAAATGAAAAAACTAAATTCTCGTGAGTCGCATGAAAACTGGCACATTTCGAAATTACGATTTCAACGCTTGATTACAAACGTAATATTTTATTTTCAAAAACACTGCTCACCTTATCATAACGAACGTAATCGACATTTCCAGCGAAATTGAGCTACTTTTAAACGACTTCAAAAAAGGAGGAATTTCTCGACTTGACTGTTTTTTTTGTATGTTTATGTCACGCGATAACTCCGGCAATTGTTAACCGATTTCGATGATTCTTTGTTTGTTGGAAAGAGGTTACTTCGATAGTGATCCCACT